CAGGGAGCCTGACGCAGGTCTCGATCTGAGGACCCTGAGATCATGACTTGAGTCAAAGGCAGACGCTTAACCAACTGAGCCACCCCGGCGCCCCTAGAGATGTTTTATTAGTAAAAATGGAATTAGGACATACCTTAAAATATCCATGTAAGTATTTTCTTATTGATCACCTACGTCATTATTAATTTCCTCCATATAAAGAATGTTGTGATTTCTGTTTCAGACAAATTTGTATATATTGCATTGAGTTGTAGTGAACTGTAATTACTGCTTCAAAGGTGAATGAATTCAAAATTTTTGTAGATACTGGACAGGAGCTATTCCCCAAAGTTGCACTTATATCCTATTTTATACATAGTGTATGCTTTTCCTCCTGGCCTCACCAACACTCTTTATTACCACTCATTTTAATTTCATCTATCATGAGGCTAAAAGTGATGTCTCTGTATTTATTTGTATTCTACTTACTAGCTGTGAAATTTGAGCAATTTTCATTATTGAATATTCAAGTTATTCTATCAATTAATTTTTCCTATACTTAGAAAAATAAGCTTTAAATTGCAGAGGTATTTTTTGTCTTTTAATCCTGTTTAATAATTAAAACATTTTCTCCACTGATTTTTATTTACTTATAATATCTAAGAAAATGTATATGCTCTTTATTATATTGTTATATATCTACCATAATTCTGATTTTGGGGGTGCCTGGGTGGCTCAGTCGTTAAGCGTCTGCCTTCGCTCAGGTCATGATCCCAGGGTTCTGGGGTCACGATCCCAGGGTTCTGGGATCAAGCCCCGCATCGGGCTCCCTGCTCAGCGGGAAGCCTGCTTCTCCCTTTCCCACTCCCCCTGCTTCTGTTCCCTCTCTTGCTCTGTCTCTCTCTGTCAAATAAATAAATAAAATCTTTAAAAAAAAAATTCTAATTTTGTCTTTGGTTGAAGGCATGCACTAGTGCTTGCTTGAAAATGCTATATATTCTCATACATTTAGTCAAAATGTTCTAAGATGATGTTTAACTCTTTTTAGAAATTATTTGTATTTTTTTCCATTTCAAATAAAGTTATATGCAAATAAATCCATACCACTCACTAGATAGTCTATTCTGGAGAACATAATAATTAACTGTATATTCCAAAGGTGCTTTTTCCTACTGACCTGCGTCTGTTTCCAGCCTGTCTTCAGATTCTCCAGCTTCAACATCAGCTCTTCCCTAGCCCTCTAGCCTGCTGGACTTCCTTGCAGACATCAGACTTGCCATCTTTCACAAGTGGGTTAGCAAATTCATTAAAGAAATCTTTCCCTCTCTCTATATATGTAGAGATATAAAGAGAAATAGAGATCTATTTCTATTTATGATATGCCTGTATCTATTTCTTCATCTATAGGTCTATAGAAATATATTGAAGATACAAAAAGAGATACATAGATATCCATTCTATTGATTCTGTTTCCTTGGAAAAACCCAGATTTTAGCATCCATACATTTTCTTCATATATAATTATACATTCATATATAATTACACATTATATATAATTATATATAATTATACATTCATATATAATTATAATTATACATGTATAATGTATAATTATACATGTATTATAATTATACATTCATATATAATATATACATTATATAATATATACATTATATATTATATATACATTATATATATTATATATATTCATATATATGCATTCATTATATATTATATATATAAGTTATATTCTTTACTATTATATATGCATTAT